GCTGGCCTTGAACTCAGAGATCCACCTGCCTCTGCCTCCCGAGTGCTGGGATTAAAGGTGTGTGCCACCACTTGTTATGGTTAATCTATCTCAAAGCAGCCAGGTCAGGGTTATTGGCTCTGGACATCTAAAAACTTCCCTCTAGCTAATGGACATTACTCTGAATAATTTCATGGAACAGCAGGACCTTTTATTCCCCCTAAGATCTTGTCTCTTTGAAGGTAGTAGCCACAGCTCTAGTGCTATGCTCTAGCCTGGGGTTCCTGTCTCAATCCAGGTGGCAATTGTGAATCCTATTATTGGCCCTTAATTAAACCGTCTAAGGGATTCAGAAAAGGGGTCTGCTTAAAAACCCTGGTTCCTACAGGCTTCTCAGGGCTGGACCAAACCCAGAAACAAAATCTGGATTAAAATTGAAGCCAGGGATGTCTGCAGAAGCTCCCCTCTTGGTAATCCATTGGTGCTGGACAAGGTTGGGAGTTATGGGCAAAGGCCTTGCCACATTACAAGCAGATGGAAGTCTTCTTGTGACTGTGGGCCACCTAGCAGAAGAGCAAGTGGCACACTTGCTGCAAATGTAAGGTCTTTGGTTTGCGTGGATATGCTGGTATTGTCCACAAAATACTAGCTGCAACCAGGAAACTTCTAGGACTTTTTGCCCATGTGTTATCATTAATGAAGCTGTGGTGTAAGATTTTGCCACATTCTGGAAAGGTCAGTCATTGGCTCAAGTGAATGCGCTGGTGTTCAATGAACATGGTGCTCTCGCTAAAGCCACGTCCACATTCAAGACACCTGAAAGGCGGTTCTCCATAGTGAGTGCGCTGGTGCCTTAGGCAGTTGGAGCTGTTGGTGAAGTTCTTGCCACACTCACAGCAATTGTAGGGCTTCTCACCTGTGTGTGAACGCTGGTGTTCCAGCAGGTAGGAACTGCGCCCAAAGCTGTCTCCACACCAGGCACAGAAGTAGGGTCTCTCCCCTGTGTGACAGCGTTGGTGCTGTAAAAGGTTAGAGCTCAGGCTGAAACTCTTGCCACAGAGTCCACAGCGGTAGGGTTTCTCACCAGTGTGAGTACGCTGGTGCTGAATCAGGTTGGAGCTCACCCTGAAAGTCTTACCACACTCAGCACAAGCATAGGGCTTCTCCCCTGTGTGCACCCTCCGGTGTTTTGCGAGGTCTGCACTGCGGCCAAAGGCCTCTCCACACTCCATGCACTTATGAGGCCGGAGACCTGAGTGAGAACGCCGGTGTTTAGTGAGGTTAGAGCTGAGACTGAAGCAACGGCCACATTCTGGGCAAGGGTAAGGTTTTTCACCAGTGTGCACCCTGTAGTGCTTAACCAGATCTGAGCCACGCCGGAAGCTTTTGTCACACTCGGGACAGCTGTAAGGCCGGTCACACCCATGGCTGCTTTGATGGTGAATGAGGTCAGAGAGGCTGGCTACAGTCAGCCCACAATTGCGGCACCTGAAAGCTTTGGGGACTATAGGATCATTGGCAAAGGCTTCTTCCTCAGGGCCGGAGCCTGATCTATATAGGTACTGCTGGTGCAGCAACTTTACCCCGGCGGCTGGTTGCTCCGGCCGCGCCAGGAGAGGGCACTCCTGCAGCTCAGCCTCGCAATCGAGGGGCGACTTGAGGGCTCCCGGGAATTTTGATGTCCGGTTCCCCAGCAGCTTCACCCCATCGGGACTCTCCCTAGCCGCTTCCGGCGCCGCAAGTTCCATTGCGGGCGAAGGGCGCCCGGTCTCCGCAATGCCACTCACTTAGCTCACCTGGAGAAAGACACTGGGGGCTCGGAGGCCAGCGCCGGAAACGGAAAGGTCTACAAGCCCGAGCTGCTCTAGGAAGCAGCAGCGAACTTTCTCGGTAGGTTTAACTCTCTCAACCACTTAACGAAAGCTTGTTGTTCTATGAGTTGATCAGTCCGGTGTCGGGACCCTAGACCACCGCGCTTGAGGGCTGCCAACAAAATCGGAAGGAGGGAAGGCGGTCGCTGACAAGGACGGACCGGGAGCCAAGTCAGGCTGGGCAGCCTGGGGCAGCACCTACAGTTCTAGAAGCAACAGCTCGCTCCTGAGCCCACTTCAAACTGCTCTCAGCGTGGGCCGACTACACATCCCAGCATGCCGCGCACACGCCTCTTGCTTTCACACAGATAAATACCATTCTCGCCATGTCTTCTGCGACTGTGCAAGTACCCAAGTTCCAGACTCTAGAACTTCAACTTCCGACGCGCATGATAACTGCGGCGGCGCTCTTCGGTGGAACAGCCTGGCCACGCCCCTCTCTTCCAGTTCCGCTCTCTCAGGGAACCGGCGAGACGCGGGGCGGAGCCTCAGGCCCGGGCCAAGATGGCGGCTGCGAGACCGGCCCTTACGGACTCGCTCTCGTTTTGCCTCGCGCAACTCACGGCGGCGGCCGGGGAGGGGCCGGGTTGGGGAAAGGACCCGGCGACCAACGAGACACCCCTGGGCCGCGCGCTCTTAGCTCTTCGCACGCGCCACATCAAGGCAGCAGAGGGGATTGAGCGCTTCCGGGCACGCGGCGGGCTCCGCCCCCTCCTCGCCCTGCTCCGCCGAACGGCTGCCGCGGGCCCCGCCCCGTCCCAAGCAGGCTCTGGCTCCGCCCCTTCGTCGGTTGCGTCAGCTGGTCCTTCCCCTGGCCCCGCCCCCGCCGCGGAGTCGCCTTTGACGCCTTCGGCGCCAGTGCGCCTGCGCAAGACGCTGGATTTGGCGCTCAGCATCCTAGCCAACTGCTGTACGGAGGGGGCGTGCCGGGCCGAAGTACGTAGACTTGGAGGCATTCTCCCTTTGGGTAAGTGCTCCGCCCCCAAGTCTCAGAAAAGTTCCGCCCCCAGGACCTGTGCAATCCGTAGTTAGTTCTTTTAGGTCGGGTCGCCGAGTGCGTGCTTTGTGATGGTGCAGCGCCACTCGTCTCCTCAGGTGTCATGCTGTGTGACGTCACTGCTCCCTGTAAATCACACCTGGACCCGCCCCGATCAGGACTAGGTCTTGGCTCCCGCCTCACTTTTGAGCGAATGTGTTTGTACTTTCTAGTTGGGGCGTTTATAGCGGACTCTCCGTCCCTGTGCAAGGCTTCACGTGGATGAGCTGGAGGCCAGAAAGTGGTTTTGAAAGTTCAGAGATTGGACTTAGAAAGTGGTGCAGTCAGAAATACCAGGCAAACCACCCAACCCCTCCAAAGTAATAACAGTGGCTACCCGACAGGGTTGAAGTGGGCATAAAATGAAATTCAAATATAGAATGCCCAGACTCCAAGCACAGGCTGGGTACTTAAAACACACAGTAAACAAATTCTCGCAAAGGATAAGCCTTTCTGCGAACCGGCTGATTTGGCGCCTCCTAACGGCAGCGATGGGAACAAAGCTGTGTCATTGCCAGTTTTGACAAAAACTTATTTTTTAAAGTGAAGCATTTATGCATTTAGAACTTGGACAGCATGCACTTGTGCAGTAATGTGTTTGACAAGAGTCCTGACCACAGCCCTCGTAAATACCAAGCTCTCTCTAACCTTGCTTCCATGTGTCTGCCCTGGGCAGGATTATTTTTGGATTGGCAGGGATGAAAGCTGATTTGGTTCAAGCCAGATTACCTGGACCACTGTGACAGCTTCATCCGTTCTCCCTGGCCCGTCCCTTCCTCTTGTAATACCCCACCACTACAGCTGCTGGAGTGTATAGTGTCACTGCCCTTCTTAAAACATTTTTGTGGCTGCTGTTGCCTTCACATTTAAATTTTGACTCCTTGGACAGTTATTTGAGGGGCTTTGTGAAATCATAGAACAGACACTATTACTTTGAGGCATTTGGAAAAGCTGCTTCCAAACCTGAGACACTAGCCTTTCCATTTACCATCCTTCTGACAAATATCCGCTCAGTCCTCCAGCTCTTGCTCACCTCCTAGCATCTTCTGAAGACCTTCCCCAACCCTCTCAAATCACGTCCCCCCCCCTTTCCTCTTCCTCCTCCCACTCTCTGGGTTGCTGGGGATGGCTCAGGGTTTGGTATGAGCCAGACGAGCACTCTACCACTGACCTGCATCCCCAGACATTTACCACATTCTTGAGCTGATCGATGAGAAACAAATAAGGGGTAGAGTCCTCAAGAAGACAAACTGTCCTTGCAGTGACCATTCTCCAATGTGTGAAGACAGACAGCATCCAGAACCGCACGGCTCGCGCTCTGGGGAACTTAGCCATGGAACCCGAGAGCTGCAGGGACATCCACTCCGCCGGTGAGAAGGCTGTGGGAGTGGGCTGAGCTGAGACTTGCAGAAGGACTTGACATGGCTACCCTTGCTCATGTGCCTTCCTCTTCCTTCTCCAGGTGCTGTGCCCTTTCTTGTTGAGAGCCTGACGGCCTGCCAGGACTCACAATGCCTACAGAGTATAGTTCGTGCCCTCCGCAACCTGGCAGACTCACCCCAGCACCGACTGGCCCTGGCCCAGCAGGGCGCGGTTCGGCCACTGGCTGAGCTCCTAGCCACGGCCCCAGACCCTGCGCTGACCTCGGCCCTAGTCCGTGCTCTCTTGGAGCTCAGCCGAGGCTGCTCCCGGGCCTGTGCTGAGCAGCTCAGTCTGGGTGGGGGGCTGGGCCCACTTGTCAGCCTGGCTTCCCACCCTAAACGGGCAATACGTGAGGCGGCCATCCTGATCCTTGCCAATCTGTGTGCTCAGGGCCTAGTGCGGCCCGCACTGGGCAATGCCGGCGGTGTGGAGGTGTTACTAGGTGAGCTAAGGCGCCGACGGGGTCCCAGTGGGACCAGCTCAGCTTCCCAGCAGCCCCTAGTGCGGGCTGTGTGTCTCTTGTGCCGGGAAGCCATCAACCGGGCCCGGCTGCGGGACGCTGGTGGTTTGGAGCTGCTGATGGGCCTGCTGCAGGACCCTGGTGCCAGTGCCTGGCATCCACGTGTTGTGGCTGCTCTTGTAGGCTTCCTTTATGATACTGGGGCCTTGGGCAAGCTACAGGCTCTGGGCCTCGTGCCTCTTCTGGCCAGGCAGCTATGTGGTGAAGCTGGCGAAGAGGAAGAAGAAGGAATAGAAGCCGCTTCCTGGGACTTCCCTGAGGAACGGAGCCCTGGGCAGACAGAGGCAGGGAGCTACCGGAGCCTTAGGTGAGTCCTCTTGTCAGGGCCCGAGGAATGGATGGTGCTTTGGGGAGGGAGTTTGGGTCTGCCATGGCCATCTTCCTTACCTCTGCCTCTTTCCTGTCTTAAGAGATTTACCAAGATTTATTCCTAATTCGTTGCTCTTCCCTAATATGACTTGAATCTGCCATCTGACCCTGGCTTCACCCATCATCCAGAACTCTGGGCCTATGCAATTTGATTAGGGGTGGCATGTGTCCCGGTTACAGTGGTATGCTATGGAGCCCAGTTTTTGTTTATTTATTTATTTGTTTGTTTGTCTATCTGTTTATTTATGAGATAGCATTTTACTTTGGAGGCCAGGCTGCCTGAATCTCAGTGTGTAGCCCAGGCTGTCCTTGAACTTACAGCTCTCCTTTTCTTATTCTGCCCTATCACCAAAACTAAGTGACTTTTCCGAGCCACCGATTGCTTGTGTGTGCAATGGAGGGTAACAGCCTCCTACCCACAGAGTTGTTGCAAAGACTGCCCCTTACCTAGCTCTGAGTGGTGGTCAGGAATGTCTGCCTTGTGAACTCCACCTACATCTCCATTCTCACTCCCTGAAGGCCTCCTCTCTAGTTCCTACACATGATGAGAAAGTGCTGTCCGAGAGTCTCTCTGTCGAGAGCACTCTTCCTCCTGTGTGCCTTCATCTCTCACCTCCTTCAAGTCTTTGGTCGGTCCTTACCGTCTTTGTGAGGGGTCATGATCACCAGGATCTTCTTTGATATCTCCCCTCCCCTCTGATGGTCAATATCACTTTCCCCTCCTGTTAGCACATCCTCACTGCCCTGACTCCAACAGCAACATGCCATGGAAGGTTTGTTTTGTTTTGTTTGGACAAGGGGTCTCACTCTGTCGCCTAGGCTGATCTTAAACTTATCATCCTCCTGCATCAGTGCCGAGCGCCAGGATCACAGGCATGAAACACTGCGTACCTGGTCCTGCTGTGTGGTTTACATGCTTGCGCTCTCTCTCCTCCGTAGATCATAAACTCGGGGAATAACATGCTTTGTTCATGCTCTTCTTGGGCACCTGAAGCTGGACTTGGCACATGGCGAACACTAGTAATTCAGAATGAGGTGTGGCCCACCTCAGGTCGTGTTCCCCCACGTGGCACACCTTCACAGAGCTTCCCCTTCCTCTCCTGTCTTTTCCTCTCCTCCCTCCATTCCTCCTCCTTCCCTCCCTCCTTCCCATCTGTCTACCTTTTTTCTTTTTGGGACAGTATCTCAGCAGACTGCCCCGGAACTCACCATCCCACGTTTGCCTTGAATTAATGCCGCAGAACCGGCTCTTTTGGTCCTGCCTCCCCACCCTGGCTCTGGGTTCAGACTCCTTTTCTCCCTGTCCTCTGTAGGTTGTGGCTGATTTCTGAGGGTTATGCAGCCGGCCCTGGAGATCTCTCCCCAGATTGGTCTCCTGAGCGGTGTCCGATGCCAGAGCCATCTGACTCAGTCAGTCCTTCCCTTGGCCAGACCTCAGTGTCGACACCCCGCACACTTCGCAAACCGGGCCGTCCCCCCGCTGCCACTGCTGAGGAGCCCTGGGGCCAAGAGGGGCCGGCCCTGTTGCTGCTGTCACGTTTCTCCCAGGCTCCTGACCCAAGTGGAGCTCTAGTGACTGGTCCGGCACTGTGTGGCCTGCTGGCCTACGTGACGGGTGCGCCAGGACCACCAAACCCACGCGCCCTCCGTATCTTGGCCCGCCTCACCTGTAACCCTGCCTGCCTCGAGGCCTTTGTGCGCAGCTATGGCGCGGCGCTGCTGCGGGCCTGGCTCGTACTCGGTGTCTCACCGGATGACTGGCCTGTGCCCCGTGCCCGGCCTGCACACCGCAGCCAGCACCGAGAGCTGGGTATGTCGCCCCTGTCCCCACCCACGCGAAAGGCCCGTTTCCTCCCGCGCCTTCGGTGGTCCTAGAAGCTCTGCTTCCTACTCGCTTGTACCCATTGTTCTCTGCAGCCCCCCGCCCCCCAAATCCGGGCTTCTCAGCCCCCAGGCGTTGGGGGTATGGGGCCTGGAAGGCAGGGAGCTGTCCCTTCTGTTCCATAGCCCTGGAAGACAGAGAAGTCTGTTCTGTCCTTTGCCCAGACCTTGGAGCCCAAATAACCTGGTTACCAGGTTTGGCTCCTAGGCCCTCGAATCTGACCTTTCTGCATTTCTGTACCCACTCTCCTCTTGGTTCTGCACTGTCCTGGTTCTCCCCCGGGCACACTCACTCAGGAACTCAGACCGTGGCACCGTGTCCTCTCAGGCCCGCCTGCCGTTTTCATCTGAGGACCGGCCGGTCTTCCGGGCCTGACTGTGGGCTACTTCCTTCCTCAAGGGCCCAGCTCTGCACCCTGGCCCTCCACGTGCCTGTCCTTGACCAGTCCTCTTCGCACCTCCGTTGATGTCTCGCCCTGAGATTTGACTCTCCTCCCTTTTACCCGGAGTCCTCTCTTGCCCACAGCCCGCCACCCTGACCTGCTGTGGCTGTCCCCGCAGGTGAGATGCTGCTGCAGAACCTGACTGTTCAGGCCGAGTCCCCCTTTGGAGTAGGTGCCCTCACCCACCTGCTGCTCTCCGGGAGTCCCGAGGACCGCGTAGCCTGCGCACTGACCCTACCCTTCATCTGCCGGTGAGCGGGAACCGGGTGTCTTGCGCGGATTGCGAGTAAGATTGCAACTCTCCGGTCCTGTAGGTCCTAGCGGCCCGCATACCCTGCTGAAAGACTCTCTTTTCCCCACAGGAAACCTACGCTGTGGCGCCGCTTACTTCTGGACCAGGGTGGCCTCCGCCACCTCCTGACGGCGCTAACCCAGCCGGTTCCACACCCACTCTTCCTCTTCTTCGCGGCAGATTCCCTTTCCTGTCTCCACGGCCTAGTGTCTCCCACTGCGAGCCCAGACCTTTTCCCTGCCGTGCCCTTGGAACTGGACTCACCGTCCCCTTGCCTCTATGAACCTCTGCTGGGTCCAGCCCCCGTCCCCGCTCCTGACCTGCACTTCGTCCTGGATTCAGGCCTCCAGCTCCCTGCTCAGCGGGCTGCTTCAGCTACTGCCTCCCCTTTCTTCCGGGCCCTGCTCTCCGGCAGCTTCGCTGAAGCCCAGATGGACCTGGTGCCCCTTCGTGGCCTGTCCCCTAGTGCAGCGTGGCCTGTCCTACATCATTTGCATGGCTGTCGGGGCTGCGGGGCTGCCCTGGGACCCATACCCCCACCCGGCCAGCCCCTGCTGGGCTCCAAGGCTGAGGAAGCTCTGGAGGCCGCCGGCCGGTTCTTGCTGCCTGCGCTAGAGGAGGAGCTAGAAGAGGCCGTTGGCCGCATCCACTTGGGTCCCCGGGGTGGCCCTGAGTCGGTGGGTGAAGTATTCCGCTTAGGTCGGCCCCGGCTGGCTGCCCACTGTGCGCGATGGACACTGGAGCCAGGGCAGTGCCCCAGAAAACGGGCCCTGGCCCTTGTGGGGCTCGTGGAAGCGGTAGGTGAGGAGGCAGGGCCTCTCACCGAAGCTTTGCTGGCTGTGGTAACGGGGAATGAGTCATAGTACGGATGCTCTAGGCTTAAGTGTCGCCATCCCCGGGAGAGCACCCAGGGGATGAGGTGGCTGTCCGGGAGGCTTCTCTCACATGGCGTGAGGGGAGACAGCAGAAAGAGCTAGCCTCAGGGACTGAAGAGCAAGTGGAACTGAGCCCCAGGCTGAAGATCTGAAGATGGACGACTAAAACGTCCACACCGGAGTCTGTGCACCGAGTCCAAGAGGACAGCTCGGCCCCAGGATCTGGTCTGACCCAGCCCTCCGGTGTTGAAATTAAAAACTTGAGATTTGGACACTGTTGTCGTGTGCTGCTCTGCTTGCTTGCTTCCGGGGGTGGGGGGGGTGGGGGGGTGGTACCCCACCCATTCACTTGCCGAGAGCCCCAGGCTCTGACCTGGGCCCTCCTTGGATTTGAGAGTTCAGTGAATAATTGCCTAGTGGTTTCTACAGGCCTGGGACGTGGTGGGTTTTCTATGGGATGGACTTTTGAATCCCCAGGGGAGGCCTCCTTTCTGCTTATGGGTCCTCATTGCTTAGACACAGCCACCCATCTAAATACAGACCCTGGCCAGGCTGAGAGGGTTTTACTGAGTGTGGTGGCATGTCATAAGAGTTCTGCCTTCTGACTGTCTACCTGTCAGTCTGCGTCCATTCCCATTTCTTAAGCCACATTTTTCTTCTTCTTCTTCTTCTTCTTCTTCTTCTTCTTCTTCTTCTTCTTCTTCTTCTTTTCTCCTCCTCCTCCTCCTCCTCCTCCTCCTCCTCCTCCTCTTCTTCTTCTTCTTCTTCTAAGATACTAGTTTATGTGTGGGTGTGTGTATGCCATGGCTCCTATGTGGAAGTCAAAACAGCTTGAGGGAGTCAGTTCTCTGCTTCCATCGTATGGGTCCTAAACTCAGGTTGTTTGGCCCGGCAGAAAGTGCCTTTACCTGCTGAGCCGTCCTCCTGGTCCAAGCCAAGTTTTAAAATGTCATCTGCCTAAGGGGAGACCTGCTGTATTCTTAGGGTTTCTGAGCCTGGCCTTAGTCACATTCAGAGAAAGTCACTTTACTGGCATTCAGATGAAGGAAGGGTCTCCATCACTGGGTTCTCAGAGCCCTGGACTGCGCCTGCCAGGGTCTGGGCATTTCAGAAAGGTGAGTTAAGGTGGCTCTTGCTGTCCCTGAGCCTGTCTGGTTCAGGTTGTGCCTTTAATTCCAGCACTCAGGAGGCAAAGGCAAGAGGATCTCATGTGAGTTCTAGGCCAGCCAGGGTTACATAGTGAGATCCTATCTTTTAAAAAAGGTACTTAGCCTGTTCCCTTTCTGATTGATTTAGGCTGGCATGGAGGGCTATGCTGAGCTTCAGTATTTTTACCAAACTTTCCAGGTTTTGACTTGCTCCTGGGTTGAGGTCCATTGTTTAGATCTGTCCTCCAGGACGGCTGTAAGAAGGCAGCCATCTGTCCATACCCATCTCCACGGGTTTCCAATTTGGTTTTTTTTAGGGAGTCAGCTTCTTGTCACGCTGACTGGAGTCTGTAAGCTGCTTCTCTTTCATCGGTACCTCAGGAAAGGGCTGTTTCGGAAAAGGCTCTGGTCCCCTCAGTGTTAGGGAAGAGTTTTGTTTTTACAAGTTGTCTGGGATTTGTTGTGCTGGGAGTTTACATGGGCTTAGGTTGTCTGGGGTTTGCGCTCCCTGTTCTGTGTATCTATTTCCAGGTATGTTTTTCAGGGAAAAGTCCTGCCCTAGAGTCTAGATTGGCGCTCTCTGTGTGAGACATTTCTTAGTGTGTATGCCTCTTGCCGTTCGATCTTGACTTGGCTGTCTGTCAGAACCTGGAGTCTGGTAGATCCTTAGAATGTCACTCCCGTCTCCAACAAAATTCTGCAAGAGGCAAGTCTTTTAAAAAAATTCCCTGGGTGGGAGCGGGGCGCTGCCTAGGACTCAGGTGCTGGCTTTGGGAGGAGCGGGCTTCGGGGCTTCCGTTTATCGGACTCCTTAGGCAGACGCTATGGAAGAACCACTCCTGACTTGGCTTCAGCTTCTGGGACTTGCTGCCGCTGAGGCAAAGGCTGGGGTGTGGCCTCCTCTGAGCAGAGCCCGAAGGCTGGGTGGGTTGGGTGGGCCCTGGTGCTGTCTTTCTTCGCGTCCCCATGCTCCCCCTCCATCGCTCCCCCCTCGACCGTATCCCAGCGGGTCCCGGCTTCCATACATGGTCACGGCCCTGCTTCTAACTCCCTGACGTCCCCCCCCCCGTCCCCCCGCCCCCACCGGACACGGCCCCCGCCCTGCTCGCCCCAAGCTGTCCGCCAGCGCACCGCCATGGAGGACCTGGGTGAGTGGGGACCGGATCCCCTCAGCCACTCACCCCTGCCTGCATCTATCCCCTTCCCCACTCACTCTCCCACATTGCCCCCATCCCGGCTCTCTCCCTCCATTTTCTCGCCTCTGCCTGCCTGCGCCTCCTCCCTCCCCAATCCACGTACCCTTTCCTGCCTCTCCCTTCCTGCCCTGCTTGCAACGCCGCTCGCTCCCTCCGTTCTTCCCAGGCTCTGCTCCCTCGACCCGGCTTGTGCAATGGACTAGGCGTTGAGACACCCGAGGGGGCCTGGATTCAGGGACTCTGGGAAGGAAGGGGTTAAGGGATTCTTGGGCCCCGAGACTGGGAAAATAGACTGGAGAGGAGAGAGTGACATCAAGTTTGGGAGATGAAAAGGGGCCAGATAGCTGGCACCAGGGTTTCAAGAAGAGAGGAGTGAGCACCCCGAAGTATAGCAGATGTCAAGTAAGCCCGCAGGGCAAGAAAGAGACCAGTAGACAGAGAGTGCCAAGGTGACAGAAAGAAGTTCGAGGCTTCTACCCAGATGCTCCAAGGAGTAAAAGAACCCGGAGCTCAAAGATTCAAAGCGCCCCAGACGTCTTGTCCTCCCTCTTTGCCGAGGCTGGGATTTCTGGACCCAACAGCAGAGGGCGCTCCTCAATAATAGTACATGGGTAAGAAGTGCACCCCAAAGCAGCTCCCTGCCAGGACCGCTTGGCCCCGAGGAGGACTGGGTGAGACTTCGTTGTGACCAAGAAGTGGGCCAGGTTGGCCAGGCTCTTTAAATATGGGGAAGAATTAGTGAGTGTGGCACAGAGAACATCTAACCAGGAAGCTGGCAGGGTGTCGAACCCACAGCCAGGTGAACGACTGAGATTCAGTAAGAGCCAATCTCGTCTGCATCAGGGAAGACAAGGAGACGAAGAGTCAAGTGACTAGCTTTGTACTTGGCTCCCAGGATAAGTCAAGGGAGATGTCTAGTCATAAGTGTCCCCTGCTACTAGTCCACTTCTTTGCCTTGATCTGGCCGCGGGTGTATGTTTCTTAGCCTCCGCCTTTAACAATGGCTTCCATCTTTTCAAATACTGCCACCTCTAACCACGTAAGACCCTGACCCACCCCCACCTCTCACCCGAGGGCTTCTCACTACAGATGCCCTGCTCTCTGACCTGGAGACCACCACTTCACACATGTCACGGTTAGGGGCTCCGAAAGAGCGCCCACCAGAGACACTCACACCTCCCCCACCCTATGGCCACCAGCAGCAGGTGAGATGAGGTTCTGGGGTCTGGGGCAGCCACTAGGGCCGGGGTTGGTCTGGGCGGGGGGAAATCAGAGCCTGAGTGAGGCAAGGGACGTGACTGTCTTCCCACATACACCTCGACTCTCTGTAGACGGGGTCTGGAGAATCTTCAGGAACCTCCGGGGACAAGGATCATCTATACAGGTGAGGGGCCTGGGAACTGGGGCATGGAGATGGAGAAACCAGTTGAAGTTCAGGTGAGGGGACTTGGGTTCCCTACCCTGAACCTAGATTCCCTCCTGTCCCTTAGCACAGTATGCAAGCCCCGGTCCCCAAAGCCGGCGGCGGCGGCCCCTGTGGCTCCTCCATTCTCCTCTTCCAGTGGCGTCTTGGGCAATGGGCTCTGTGAGCTGGATCGTTTGCTTCAGGAACTGAATGCCACCCAGTTCAACATCACAGGTACCAGGGTTCCCGAGCCAGCCTTTGATGGGTTGGGGACAGGGCAAAGCAGGGCAGAGCCTAAGGGACACAGATTTCTCCGAGGAGCAGTTAAAGGACATGAAGCCTTCCACTGGGAGGGCGAACTGAGTGTGGTCCCTTGCCTGGTGTCATGTTCTCATCTCTCCAGATGAAATAATGTCTCAGTTCCCATCCAGCAAGATGGCTGAAGGGGAAGAGAAGGAGGACCAAGCTGAAGACAAGAACACACCCACTGTGTGAGTTCGGCAGAGCTGGGAAGGAGGAGGCGATGGGTCCCGGATGTCCGAGGGACTAGAGGGGGGTCTCATGCTGGCAGACTCTGAGGTTCTACAACTGTGTTCTCCACAGCCCTCCCAGCCCATTCCCTGCCCCCTCGAAGCCTTCAGCCACCTCAGCCACTCTGGAGTTGGACAGACTGATGGCGTCACTCTCTGACTTTCGGGTCCAGAACCAGGTAAGTCTGGAAGGCTTTTGGCTGGTGCCATCTGTGGTTCGCCACTCCAGTTCTGATGCTTCCAATTGGTGGCCCTTGTGGACTCAACGTCCATGTCCTCTTCACTGCAGCTTCCAGCCTCAGGGCCATCTCAGCCACCAGCGGTGAGCCCCACCCAAGAGGGCTGCCCTTCTCCACCGGGGCAGACCAGCAAGGGCAGTCTGGACACCATGCTGGGTCTGCTGCAGTCCGACCTCAGTCGCCGTGGTGTTCCTACCCAGGCCAAAGGACTCTGTGGCTCCTGCAATAAACCCATTGCTGGGCAAGTAAGTGCAGCCCCGAGAACGGAGGCATATGCTCACAAAGCCACCTTTGAGAACCAGACTCGGTGCTTTCCCCTTTGTAAATATTGTTTATTCTTTGAGAATTTAATACATGTATACAGTAGATCTTGGTTCTCTCTAACCCCTCTCTTAATTCCTTCCGGTGCCCCCATCTTCCTCCCAACTTCATGTCACCTTTTTAAAATCCACTCGGTACAGTTCGTGCCTCTGGTATGGGCATGGTGTAGGGCCACCCTCTGGAGCGTTGGCACTGTCCAGGGGCCACATTCCTGGAGAAAACAGGAGTGCCCTCTCCCAGCAGGCCACACACCGCCAGCAGCTCCTCTGTTAGAGACAGGGCTAAGTGAGCCCCTCCCTCCTCCCTGACGGAATTTTAACCAGCTGGATCCTCAGTAAGTCTTGTGAAAGATCCACAGCTGCTGTGAGTTCATGAGCGCCAACCCTGTCAGGTCAAGGACACACGGATTCGCGCCGTCTTGCCCAGCTTCCGGCTCTTACCATCTCCCCAACCCCTCCTCTGTGATGAGCTCCCAGTCTTGTGGGGAGAGGGTGTGCTGTAGGTGTTTATTAGGACGCTGTGCTCTTCCCTGTGGATGAATACCGTGGAGGGGAAATTGTTTTCTTGTGAAGTCGAGGCCTGACCCCAGGCCCTTGCATGTGCCAGGCCGACCCTCTGTCACCGAGCTGTACCCTAGCTCTCAGGTTCGTTGTTGTTTTGTTTTGTTTTTGAGACAGTGTTTCGTGTATCTCATGCTGGCCTCAAATTCAGTATATAGTCAAGGATCAACTCCAATTTCCGATCCTCTAGTTTCTATCCCCTGAGTATTATATACCCCCTGGGACTGTAGGCATGCATCCCCCTCCACAGTTTATATGTGATTCTTGGGGATTGAACCCAAGACTTTGTGTATTCTAGGCAAGCACTCTACCACCTGAGATACAACCCTAGGCCAACCCTTGGAATGTTGAGATAAGATCTTACCATGTAGTCCAGGCTGCCCTAAAAGCCATGATTGTCCTGCCTCTACCTCCCAAGTTTTAGTTTCCAGCATATACCACTGTGCCCACCTGAATGGATGTTATTATTTATATTTCATGTGTTTCTCAAAGACACTGTTTTAGTTTTTGAAGCAGTGTCTCCCTGTAGCCTAGGCTGACCAGAAATGCATCCTGTATCCCAGACTGGCCTTGAACTCATGGCAATCCACCTACCTCAGCCTCCTAAGTTGTGTGTATGTGCGCTAGGGACTGAACCCAGGGCCTTTACAAATTCGAAATGCACCTTTGCCATTGAACTAACTCATATATATATATACACACACACACATACATATATATGTATATATATACACATATATATGTATGTATTTAATTTTTTGAGACAGGGTTTCTCTGCATAACAGTCTTGGCTGTCCTGGAACTCAATTTGTAGACCAGGCTGGCCTCGAACTCACAGAGATTCACCTGTCTCTGCCTCCCAAGTGCTGGGACTAAAGACGTGTGCCATGACCACCCAGCTAGCTATATATATATATGGATGAGAAAACTGAAACTCTTAGTGATAAGCCATAGGGTAAGAATTCCAACCTGGTTAGTATTTGGTGTGGCCCTCCTGCGTGCTGGACACTGTGCTAGTTCCTTCTCACACCCCTACTTCATTTAAACTTCACAAAAGCCTCATGGGTTTTGCCTAGTATCTCTCAGGCATCACGAAAACGGTTTCTTCCCTTTCAGAGTCTGGTCCAGGAGTCCTGGATCATGGACTGGGCAGATATGATCCAGAATAGCTGTGCCTGGCCGGCCTAACACATCTCCTTAGATTAAGTACCTGACTCCCACACCAGAATTGCTGGCCACAGAAAGCAGGGTGGTATGACTTCTGGGAGGCTCTGGGTACTAAGTCTTCATAGGTCTCTTCCTCTGTGTCGGCCTAAAGATTGACTTTTACCTGCTATGGTGGAATATACCTTAATTCTAGCACCCTGGAGGCTGAGAGGTAGGAAGATTGAGTAACACAGTGAGTTTGAAGCCAGGGCAGCTTAGAAAGATTCCATCTCGAAAAAGCAAGCACCCTACACAAACTTTAAAGTAACTAAACCTTTTTTGTGGGCCCTTAGAAGGAGCGCGGGCCCAAATGCACCAAGCCTTGTGTGCTTTGTGAACACAGACCCCGGAGTAAAGCTGGAAGGCCAGCTTTGGACTTCTAACACAGTTTGCATCACCTTGGACTTTTGTGATTTTTTTCATCCTGGTCCATCAGGGTTAAGACTGGGAAGCGCCAGGTCTATAAATGTCTTAGCTCACCCAGCAGCACCTGCGGACTGGAGAGCCACTCTGACAGAAAGCTCCCGTTGTTCCACTTCACAGGTGGTTACGGCTCTGGGCAGAGCCTGGCACCCTGAGCACTTCCTCTGCAGCGGCTGTTCCACCACCCTGGGAGGCAGCAGCTTCTTCGAGAAGGACGGGGCTCCCTTTTGCCCCGAGTGCTACTTTGAGCGCTTCTCCCCACGTTGTGGCTTCTGCAACCAACCCATCCGACACGTAAGCTCTGCAGGGCCCCACAGGTTTGCCTGTTTCGTTCAGAGAGGACCAGCCAAATGCAGAGCTGTCTTTCCCACCTACCCCCACACCCACCCCACCCTGCCTCTCCTGTTTCCCCCCCCCCTTTTATCCCAAACTCCTTGTCAGTTCTTCCCCCTACAGACACAGGCTTCAGCCTGTTGTCCCCACTCCCCCAGGTTCCCAGAGGGGGTCGGAGGGAAGAAGTGACAGAAGGCGACAGCAGTGTCCTTTTCATTTTCTGCAGAAAATGGTGACCGCCTTGGGCACCCACTGGCACCCAGAACATTTCTGCTGCGTCAGCTGCGGGGAGCCCTTCGGAGAAGAGGGTGAGAGCTCATGCTTACAAGCTACAGGCTCAGTGGTCTGCCTGCCTTGCGTTTCCTTCTATTCTGCCCCGTCCTCCCTCTCCCCATCGCCCTTCCCTTGTCCTAGACCCCATCCCTCCCTCCCTCCTGCCACTCTTGCATCTCGCAGTCCCGCCCACCGTCCCCGGTCCCTGCCCCCAGGTTTCCACGAGCGGGAGGGCCGCCCCTACTGCCGCCGGGACTTCCTCCAGCTCTTCGCCCCGCGCTGCCAGGGCTGCCAAGGCCCCATTCTGGATAACTACATCTCGGCACTCAGCGCGCTCTGGCACCCAGATTGCTTCGTCTGCAGGGTGCGTGGCTGTGGGGAGCGGGCTAGGAGCCCAGAGTGGGAAGTTCGTTGCTTAGTCGGGTTGGCTCTTTGCTGGAAGCGCCCCTCACTTCTGCAGAAGTCAGGGGAGATGTGAGTTACCCACGTGGGTTATCTGGTCAGGGTTTTGGGCTCATCTTGTCAATTCCTCCTTCTGGTAGGAATGCCTCGCGCCCTTCTCCGGAGGCAGCTTTTTTGAGCACGAGGGGCGCCCGCTGTGTGAGAACCATTTCCATGCCCAGCGTGGTTCGCTATGTGCCACGTGTGGCCTCCCAGTGACTGGCCGCTGTGTGTCTGCTCTGGGCCGCCGCTTCCATCCGGATCACTTCACCTGCACCTTCTGCCTGCGCCCACTCACCAAAGGCTCCTTCCAGGAGCGTGCCAGCAAGCCTTATTGCCAGCCTTGCTTCCTGAAGCTCTTCGGCTGACCTCCTTTGGGGATTATGGATCTCCAAAAACCCAATTGTGAAAAAGACCGAGTCCTCCGGATCCCTAGCTCTGGAGCCACCCAGACATCCCTTGCCCCGCCCCCGACTCCCGTCTCCACAGGAGAGCCCTACCCCTAAGGTACTCTAGGTTTGTCAAGTTCAGAAAGGGACCCACACTCCTAAAACACCCAGTAGCCGGGAATGCAGACCTCACTCTGACCTGATCCGGTTCTTGTAATTCCAACCATTCAGAGGCCAGGATGTCCCAAGTTCCCCCACCGCTCACCATTCTGTACACTTTTTTTTCTACAAACATAAAAACACGCTCCACATCTCACGGTGCCAGAGAAGCTTGCTTTACTACCCAGTCCCCTTACCAGGCTCTATGGCCTGATGCTCAAGGCCACAGCTCCGTGGAGGAGACTGTGGAACTGCTCCCTTTCGCCTTGTGGATGAAAACAAATACCGGATGGAGGGCAAGGTCGCAGAGGCCTGCCAGTAATCCCAACATGGAGGCCAGGGCAGGCAGGCTATCCTCAGTTGTACTGCAAAACTGAGGCCAGGTTGGGTTTATGAGACAATATCAAAACAAAGAAAACAACGCCTCCCCTCTCCCAGAACAATAATCGTGCGGACATCAAAATCCAAAGCAATGGCAACAGAGTGAAAGGTATGGTAGTTCATGACTGTAATCCTAGCCCAAGGGAGGCAAGTTCAAAACCAGTCTGGAACTTAGGCTACAATATAAAACCTAGTATCAAAGGCAGGGTCGGGCTGGGTGGGGAGAAGACCCAAGTTCAATTCCTAGCACCCACAACTGTCTGTAACTCCAGTTCCAGGGAATCCAACACCCTCTTCTGGCCTCCAAAGGCACCAGGTGCACACACGGTACACAGAACACATGTCGGCAAAACACCCATACATACAAAACGCAAAGTTTTAGAAAGGGCTGGAGAAACAGCTCCGTGGTTAAGAGTTGCTGCTGCACATTGAGAAGACGTGTGTTCAGTCCCCAGCACCCACATGGTGGCTCACAACCAGTTCCAAGGGGGCTCCTGCATGTATGTGGTGTGCATACATACATCCAGGCTCACACACACACACACACACACACACACACACACACACACACAACATTAAATACTAAAAACAATTTAAGAGTTCTCAGCTGGAAAGAACACCCAGCTTAAAGTACTGTACAGGCAGTGGTGGAACCTGGCAAGGACAGAAAGACAGAGTCTGGGGCATCTTTCTCTCCTTACCTCCCAGCTCCCCCCACTGTAGTCTTGATTTGTTCTCTCTCTCTCTCTCTCTCTCTCTCTCTCTCTCTCTCTCTCTCTCTCTCTCTGCTTAGTCTGGGTCCCAGATTTTATTCCCCCCAACTCCTTTGTTGCTGTTGCTGTTGTTTGTTTTTTCGAGACGGGTTTCTCTGTGTAGCCCTGGTTGTCAAGGAACTCACTCCATGGAACAGGCTGACCTCGAACTCAGAGATCTGCCCACTTCTGCCTGGGATTAAAGGCATGTGCCACCATGCCCAGATTCACCCAACTCCTTTTAAAGGACTCTCAGAGGTCACATCAAAGGCAAGAAGTTCCTTTAGCTATTTTAGGGGGTCATCAAACCAGGTAAAACTAGGTCCTTGCCCACACCACAGAAGAGGATTTCAGGATGAACTAGTTTGTAAACCAGAGTTATTATTTATTAAAAAGAAATTTTTAATAAAAGTCTTAACCACAGGGTCAAGAGAGAGGCTCTGGGGAAGAAAGGAAGATGTGCCTCAAACTATAATAGGTGTGGGCCCCTCAAAGACAGACAGGTTGGGCCCAGCGTCCTCGTGGTGAGGATATATAGGATTCTGAGTGCTAATGAGTTTCTAAGGCACCCTCTACTTCTCTCTTTCTATTCCCCTTTTTGGTAATTAAGGTTATTCATTTGGACAAAGTAGCAGGCTACAGAATGAAAAAAGATCTTTACTAATTACACACTCAACAGAAGGTCGATATCTGAAATATAAGAAGAACTAAAAAAAACCTTTGATGTTAAGAAAAGAAATAACCTAATTAAAAGTGGGCTACAGAACTAAACAGAGTTCTCAAAAGATGAATCACAAATGACTGATAAACATTTAAAGAATGTACAACATCCTTAATCATCAGGAAAGTGTAAATCAGAACTACTTTGAACAGTTCTTGGGAGGCAGAGACAAGCAGATCTCTGAGTTTGGGACCAACCTGGTCTACAGAGCAAGTTCCAGGACAGCCAGGGATACATAGAGAAACCCTGTCTCAAAAAACAAAAAAGAAGAAACAAACAAACAAAAAAAAAAACAAAACCACTTTGAGATTTTATCTTCAGTTAGAATACTTCAGTCAGAATGTTCAAGATCAACAAAACAAACAGCTCATGCTGGTGAGGATGTGGGGTACGGGGAACACTCATCCATTGCTGATGGGAGTGTAAACTCATATACCACTTTGGAAATCAGTGTAGAGGTTCCTCAGGAATCTGGGAATTGATCTACCTCAAGATCCAGCTGTACCACTCTTGGGTATATACCAAAGGACTCTACATCCTACTACAGAGACATTTGCTCATTCATGTTCATTGCTGATCTATTCATAATAGCCAGAAATTGGAAACAGCATAGATGTCTATCAACAGATGAATGGATATAGAAAATGTGATACATTTACACAATTTAGCTGTTAAAAACATGAAAATCACAGGTAAATGGATGGAGCTAGAAAAAAAAAATCATCCTAGGAAGGTAATGCAGACCCCCAAAGACAAATATGGTATGTATTCTCTTATTTGTGGATGTTAGCTCGTAAGCCTTTCATATAAACCACAGAGATAGGGTATAGAGTAAGAGACTAGGAGGGGAGGGGAGGACCTTCCAAGCAAGGAGAAATAGAACATATAGTTATGGAGAGACAGGAGGAAGGCAAACAGGAAGATTAAATGAAGAAGGGGAGAAAAGGGGGGAGTAAGAGAGGGGATTGAGAAAGGGACAGCTAATCCTCAGGGCTGTTGGAGAGGCCGTATGGAAACCCACTACTACAGAGGCTTCCTAAAATATACACATATATAAAAGGAATCTAAATGGAGTCATCAAATAATGGGGGAAACAATGCTTCAGCTAGACATCTTAGACCACCAAGGGAAGCATCCAGTGCCAGGAGTGGGTTATATCTAGTTGAGTCATTGGCCAAAAGAGCCCCATGGAAACCCCCAAACATCTCAGGCTGTTACCAAGGATACTGGTTGCTCTCTCCACAAAGTGATGGTAAGGACCTATTGCTGAAGGGAGCACTTCTATATCTCATCCAACATGGAGAAGTCAAGCTGGTACCTAATGAGAGCCTTCACCCCTCCTCACTAGTGTTCACGGTACTGGAAGGTACTCTCCATGCTACCGGAGAAGAAAGGTAAACACCGACCTAGCTACAAGCCCTTCAATATATGATATGGTGGCCTGCCTGTGTGATACGCTGATGCAATAGCAGCACATTGAGAGAGGAACCAACCACCATCTGATTGGATTTAAGGCTCACTCTGTGAGATGGAACCCATGCCTTACGCTGCTCAGGTGGCCAAGAACCTGAGACCAAATAGGCCATAGACCTGGGGAAAAGCAAAACACTATGTTCTGCTAGGAATGTGGCAATAAAGTGACTGACTCCTAATGACATTCTCCTGCACCCATAGCTCAGTGTCTCTCTCACCCAGCAATCATCAGAGAAACTTCTTCCTGCAGTATATGGGAACTAACACAGAGACTCATGACTGGACAATGTGCAGAGAGTGAAAGACCTTGGAACATTCAGTTCTTAATGGCATGTCTTCATCAAATTCCTCCCCCTTGGGGCTCAGGGAGCTATGCAGAAGAGAAGGCAACAATATTACAAGAGCCAGAGGGGATGATAGACATCAAGACAACAGTATCTCCAGACACAGCAGGGGTGACTCAAATGTGAACTCACAGAGACTGTGGCAGCATGCACAGGGCCTGCACAGGTCCAAGCTGAATGGAGCCCCAGTGCTGAGGAGAAATGGACAGGAGCCCCCATCCTTAACCAAGAGGCTATCTTCAACTGATAGCCACTTGCAAAGGAAAAATTCATTTTCTCCAATGGAATCTCACTGGGTATACAAATCGTACTTAAAGTTCCCACGCTCGGCTATAGATGGCCAACATAAAATGAACTCAATGGTATTTCTGGGTTGTCTCATATTGCTTTGTTTGGGCTTTTCTTTTTTTTAACCTTCTGGTCTTTTGTTTGTATATCATGATTTCCTATTTTGTGCTTTTCTGTTTGTGTGTCTGTGTCTGTGTCTGTCTGTCTCTGTGTGTATGTTTCTCGTACTTTTTCTTTGTTTTGTTCTATTCTGGTTTGTTTGTTTGATTTGCCTGTTTTCTAAAGAGAGAGAGAAAGAAAGAGCCTTGGAGATAAACGGGTGGGGATCTGGAAGGAGATGAGGGAGGGGACACTGATCAGAATATATTGTATGAAAAAATTAGTTTAAATTGAAAGGAGATTATTGGGTGGCTTTGGGGGTGCCATGTGGGTGCTTGGAATTGAACCTGGTTCTTCTGCAAGAGAAGCCAGTGCTCTTAACTATTTTTCCAGCCCCCTTGTTAGAATTCTTGATTCTCAGATGGTGAGAGGCATTAACCATTTTCTTGGGTGAGGGCCTCCTTTGCCTTATGATCTATGTATTCAGCAGGTTGAGGGGTATGTGCATGTGTGTGTTTGTGTGCACCTGTGTGTATTTATGAAATTTTCACCCCACTGAGAGACAGGGATTGGTGAATAAATACCTAGCCCATTAATGATTCATTCTGAGGTGCATTCTGCATAGCATTTCAACCCCCTAGCTAATGGTCTATTCTGAGGCTCATTCTATACAGCTAATGGTCCATTCTGATGTGTTTTCTGTGTAGCATCTCAGTCCCCTAGTCAATGGTCCATTCTGAGGTACATTTTGTACAGCATCTAAGACCCCTGGGGCTGGGTTCCAGCATCTTGTAGGTTCTGCCCGTTCAACAGTACCTCACTTTCTGGCCTTTCTCCTTTGTCTAAGTTCCTCTACTCCCTCACAGTCCTTACTAGAATCTTGTGTTGACCTTCCACATCTGTGGCTTCTACGTCACACTCCCTCCTCTAAGGCTTATTCTCAGACAAAAAACTCAGGAAGCAGTGAAGAGTCTAGGTGACTTGGAAGGGACTTTTTGTGACTTTAAAGATGGGCCATGTGTATATGGGCAGGGCACCCAGCATGTCTGCTTCATGATATGGTATGAATTCAACCAGCCTTTGAACAAACTCATTTGAG